GGGTGTCCACGTCGGTTTCGCGGTCACGGGTCTCCCCACGCGACCGTGACCGTGGTGGACTCGCCAGGGTTCGTCCGGAGGTATGTTTCGACCATGGCCCTACACCGGCGGCACTGGTGGCCAAGGTCCTACAGCGCCTTTGTCACCCTTCCAGGTGAAGAAGTGGTCACCATCGTTGGGGTGCCCAGGAGGACCAGTGCGGGCGAGCGAGAAAGACCGATCTATAATCCATACAAATTACTACACCCAAACACTCCATGTATGCCACCCCATTGACCCCTCACACCACCCCAACTGATCGGCACATATGGCATATATGGAGTGTTTGGGATAGATGGGGCAAGGGATCATAGAATATTCCTGGCTCTATATCTCACCAAACATGACCTGTTCTGCTCTGTGCGGGTGCAGGGCTTGTGATTTGTAATCAGTTGGACTTGATTGTGATCAAACTGATTACAAATACGACTCGACTGATAATGATCAAACCAACTTGATGGATTATCCATCGACCATGGTTTGGTGATTCTGGACTGATCGATGACCTGGTGAGCCAGTGACCAGTCACCTGGAGATGCAATTCAGTTCGACCCTTCCACGTTCGGCAGAAAACAGCGACCAGACCGGTTTTCAAACAGAGCAATCGACCGCGTCTCGGGCGTGTGGGTTGCGGCCAGCCACAGACACCGAAGCACCATCAAGCTGTTCAGTTCACACCTCAGAATCCTGGAACAGTCATTTGACTCATCCGCCATACAGGTCAGTGACTGAAGTCGGTGAAATCATCATGGGCCAACGTGGAGAACGCATGGAGAACACAATTTTCGACTCGGATGACCCATGTTCCATCCACGTAACCGTCTCACCCTGGCCGAGGTCGGTGGGCCTTTATTTAAGATGCTTATCCGGATGCTTTAAAGGAGTGATCCACCAAGTGACGTGAAAGGAACAGATGAAACTGATGATTCTAAATGATTCTATAATGAATAAATACATGTATATATATATCTCCAGATATATATATATATCGATGTACATGTTGCTATTTTTATTTGACCATCATTGACCGAGAAACATCTTTTGCCTCATCCCCCTCAGGTGCGTGTGATTAGTGATATATATATATATATATAATGTTCAGTCAAGCTCCCCTCGAACAAAAAAAACAGTTCCGCAACAGATCCGAACGCGAAGAATTCCGAGGAAATCTGACATGATGATATGACATGACAAGTCTGATGGAACATTTGGACGCCCGCCGGCCTAGCTGCGTTTCCATTCTTTCGCAATGCAACTATATGAATTATCCACTGGGTTGCAGGTTTCAAAGTAGTCTTCCTTGCAGGTCGCCATCAGGTTCCATATGGGCCTCAAACACCGGGTGTAGATGAATTTTCCCTATGACGATGGCTGCGAAAGGAACAAGCACTGCTTGGCACTGCTTCCGAACTCCGCCAGGCCGAACTCCACGAGGTCGCGTTGGTCAAGGACGGGTCGTCGAGCGCCGGGACGATGGTGTTGGAAGTCGATTCCCCGCGTTTTGCCAGACGGCTGGCAGGATGAAGTGTTGGGAGGCTGGCCCGGAAAAGACCACCATTTCCAGATTGTTTGGACAAGTGAATGACAGAACATAGAGATAAGTCAACAAGAAAATATATGTAGGTTATTCAGCCCTGCCTTGCAAAAATTCAGTTACTGTCTTTGTCGATTTGCAGCAGTTGTTTTGGTATCCTTTTTGAGAAGCACCCTGAACCTCTAATGCTTAGAGTATCTTAGAGTACTCGCATGCTGCTCTACAACACCTACCAATTCTTAGTGGACCATATGCAGCTGGTGGTGATAGGTTAGGAGGCTCTTTGGCTATATTTGTGTGTGCGGTATGTTTTTTGTTGTAGGTGATGTTGTCTTTGGGGTTCATAGAATGAGGATGAGCAGTGCCGTGCTGGCTATCTTCATTTGATAACTTATAACGCTTATAATGTGTTATCCAATAGAGTTGTCGTTCAAATACTTACGCAGCCTGACACTCCATGGGACTGGCATATTTACATCCATTGGTGTGGTTGAAACGCGGATCATGTACATATGCATAAATATGTGGTTCGTCCCATGGAGTATCAGGCTTATGGAGTCCCTGGAGAACCTGGGCTTCGGGGGCGGGTCTGGCGAAAGCAACGCGTGGTCTTTCCCAGGACTAAGGTCTTTCCCAGGACGTGCCCCCGATGTTTGGGATCGGTCGAAGCGGGCGGTCTACAGCCGAAGGGGGTAGATAGAAATTGTGTTCAGTTTGCTACTGTTGCATATACTGTATATATATATATACACACAGTACATGCACATGTGTCATTGTGGTTTTCTGTCCAAATGGTTATGTGATGTGGGATCGCGTTTGGTATCACTGTCACGAAGTGTATACAGAAGAATGGCAGGACCTGGCAGGATGTTGACCTGGATTGGGGACAAGATGGAAGGCCAACGCATTCACCAGGTTGATTCCTTATTTCTGAGCTTGAGAGCTCAAGACATCGGTCTCTTTTAAGTAAACATATCCAGTGGGTTGATTCACCTTTGTATCCAGACGGAGGTTGATTCCTCCTTTAGAAGTTATTGTTTGGTCTTTGTTGGTGTATCCAGTGGATGTCCAGATATCAAGTCCAATTCTTCTTTCCAGTTTGTTGCTTCTTGCCTACCTTTCGGAGCAATGGGTGTTTGGGCAGGGGGTGTTCCGGGAGCGGTCAGCCTTCCGGAGCGGTTCAGCCTTCAGCAGGGTCTCAGAGCAAGCTGTGCAAGACCTGCTCCTACAAGACCTACTTTCAAGTACCTATAGGTCTTATGACCAATGCAAAGAGATGACTATGCAGAGACTCTTGGAGGTTTGTATATATATATATACTTGCTTCCGTTTACCTTACCAGTAAGGTTTTAGGATGTTGCAAGGGCACCCTATTTGTGAGCCAAAGCCAGGCGGCTGATTTTGTACCACCTTCATCTTCATTGATCTTCATGGGCTGACGAGCTCGCAGAATTTCATGTGCGCTGCAGCGTGCACATGCTCGCAGTATCCATTCCAAGTGCACGGGGGAAATAAGGGTTATATAATATGGTAGTCTTATATATGGCTGTGGGTCAAATCCCGGATTCCCAAACCGGGGTAGGTTGACCGACTAGTCAGGTCGTCCATTCTCAACCCTTTGACCCAGGCAACCCAGGTGGCTCGGTGCCACGACCCACGCCCAATATATATATATATATATACCTTGTGCATCCTTGTGCCTCCAAACACGACAAAAACGTAGGGTTCATCCCAAAACACGAGGTTCTTGGAGGAAACACGAGGTTTCCCATTTTGGTGTTTTTTCCGCCCATGCCATCTTCGAAGGCCGGGCCACAGGAACTTGAATTCAAACTCAAAAAGCACAGGTTGATGATCAGAACGAAAAACAAAAACTCAACAAAAAATGCAACTATTGTACCCCCCTAAAACCCGTGAAAAAAACACGGGTTGTCACGGTATAATCACGGGTTTGTCACGGGTTCGTCACGGGTTTGGGAAACATGATGTTTTTCTGAAAACCCGAGGTCTTTCATCCAAAATCACGGGTTGACACGGGATAATCACGGGTTTGACACGGGTTTGTCACGGGTTATCGGAGCTCTCAATAACGGACCCGAACTTTTCCTGACAAGAGTGTTGAATGTTTTTAACATATTGTGAAACATGTTTTGACCACGGAAAATTTGATAAGTCGGCGGGAGAAAATACATATGGAGCACCTGCACATGGCTATCGAGGGTTTTGGGGCAAAACACGAGGATTTGGTTAAAAACCCGAGGTTTTCCCTTATGTCACGGCTAAACCCGAGGCTTGTTTTCAAACCCGACAAATTTGTGGGGTTCAGATGCTCAGGGTATATATATATAGTAGATCATACATTCCAGGACCATCCTGTTTGGATGCCCTGGCTGGACTACCCTACTCTACTATCCGGGATCTCCAGCCAGGACACCTAGACAGGATGGTCCAGGTTTTGGGGTTTTTGGAGTATCCCCTCACTTAGGGATTAAAAGCCACTAATTTGTGACTCCGCCTAGTGTTTCGTCTCAGATGATCATACTACATTAATTTGGGTTGTCTCCGAAAAACTGGAGGCCTTTCACCACTTGGATGCCTTTTCAGGAGTCTATGGCATCGGCCTCTCCACCGTAACCAAAGGGCTCTCGCTCTTCAGCGCAGACCCATTTGACCTGTCAACGGGCGTCCAGTCCCGGTGAAACCGGTGAAGTGGGGGGATTGGTCCCTTCTGAGGAGGTGGGACAGGAGCCGATCCGTGATATATCATGTTTGTTTTTCTTGGTCTTTAGACTTGGAGCGACTTGTAGAGAATGAGGGAATGACTCCCCCCCGACTATAATAGATACCTTAGGATCTGTGGCCCTTCTTCATGGCGAGTCGCACCAGCCAGGAACCAGCTAGTCTCTCCTTCGGTTATCTTCGCTTCATGCTGCATCCACCGCTCATCCAACCGCGACCGGTGGACAGCATCCAATCCGTCCGCAAGGGCCGCGTTTTCAGTCCACCGACCCAGGTGGCCTTACTCGATCAAGCTGCATATAGACAGAACAAAATATTGCTGTGCTTGGCATCTCTAAACCTTGTTGGCCAGATGTTGCCAGATCATTTGACCAAATCTGGTGGATTTCAATGTAGCTGTATGGCTTGAGGCTTGAGGCTCATGCCCATCGCACCCCGTGATGTTTGGAGCAAATCCGATGCTACAGCGGGTGACAATAAACATCAGCCCCTTTGGTTCAGGAGCTTCCTAAAATCATTGCATGCCCAGGGCCCATGCTCTTCCCGCGCCATCTCGCCATGTCGTTGCGATGTGCAAGTGGAGTTTGGACCGAAGCGCTCAGGCCTCGAAGAAGTAGTACTATAGTGAGGACTTGAGGACTTGAGTACTTGTTCCGGAGTACCGGTACCTCACGGGAGACAACAACCATATGGAACCCTTGATAGATTGTTAGTCCTTCAATCGACATTCATCCAACATGTGTGTATTAATTTCAATAGGGAGACGGTCCATTTCCCTTCTTCCAGGAGGTCGAACGGGTGTCGGTCACCCAATTTAAAACACATCATATTTTTTTGGAAGTCGAGTATTGGAGTTCAAGCAACATGGGTCTACTGCAGGATGTTCGAATCGCATTATGTTCCTCAAGCTTCTTGTGTCTTTCCGTAGGGAACACCAGACTTGACTGGTGCCAAGTAGGACGGGTTAGCTTTTCCGCGGGGAGCGGGCAAGTACAACAAATGCAACTCATATGGCTTTTCCATCGAAACTGAGGGGGTCAGATCGAGGTTTGTGAGGCAAACCGGCTGGCAGTTTACTATATATCCCAACCACTCCTAGTGATCTCTAAGGCTACCTTCGACAGATCTGTAGGTGTTTCAATGCGTGGAGTGTTTAAACGAGGCTTATGTTATACGAGTGAATTGCGAAACCAGTCAGTCTGCTTCCTCCCGGTAGAGGGAGTTGTCAACGTATGTCACCGTTCTATGTTGTTTTTTGTTGGCCCATGGTGAACTCTCCGAAGATCCTGATATTGATCAATCAATGGCCATTCTTATTGTTCTCTTTTACCACATCTAAACACCCAATGAATGGCTCAAAGTTCACCCCAGGTCGACCCCACCACCCTTCCCCTGCCGTTTTTTCTTCCGCCGCTGTCCCTCCGTCGCTCCGCGTGGCTCCGCGTGGCGCGTTGGCAGCTCGCTCGGTGCGCTCCGGTTCCTCGGCGTCAAGCTCGGGTGGAGGGATCGATCCATCAGTTCATGGGGATTGCGTGAGATGCACCAGTCCTTTTCGTGTTGTCGCACGTGTCATTCTTAATAGATGTTAATGGTGTGTGTGCGTGTGTGTGTGTGCGTGTGTGCGTGGTGTGTGTGTGTGTGTGTCCAGCCCTGTTTCGAAGGGTTAATTCACTCGCCTTTCCTTCCGCAGGGGGATCAGGCTTCCAGTGACTAACCTGATCCAACGAAGCTGGGTCACTGGAAGGGAAGTGGTTGAGGACGCTCAACCATGTACCTGCAGAGTGCTTCACAAGCTGTCACCTTACTTCTCCGCGGTTTGTTTCATAGTCTTTCATGCTTCCACCCCCAAACCCATTTCGTCACCGTGGATGTGCAACTTGAGCCGTTTCGTCACCGCAGTCAAGGGAAACAACTGATGTTCAAACACCTACAATTTCTTTGGACTTTTCGCCTTACCGTTCCATCGCCTTCCTTCCCATCGTGGCAATTGAACTAACTGAAAACCAATGTCGAAGTGTGAGCCGCTCAGTCGTCCCACATGGGTGCTGGGTGTGATCCTCCGCAAGGAGGCGCCGTTTTCATACTGGAAATTGAGCTACTGACTCTTCTCCTCCACTGATTTACCTTCATCGATCTTTATCTACCCTGAATTCACTGCTCATACAGCCGTCGGGCTAAAAGACGAATTTGCCAGCCGCCGGGCTTAAAAACGGCCTTTTTTCCCCCCACTTGAGGCATGTCTCCCAACCCCCACCGCGTTCTACTCCCTGCCTAATTAGGGTAACATAGGGAAATGGTACTCGACACACTTGTGTGTCGGTGCCTTTCCCTCTGTTGTCCCTTTTCTAGTCTACTCTACCCGGGCGGTGTAAGACGAAAGCCCCGCTCCCTAACTAATGCACCTAATTCACTTCGTCTAAGTATTCAGTAATCCTAGAGTGCTAGGTATTCAAACACACACATGGACATACATCCCCTCCCTGCCCCCCCCTTTTCCTTCTTACGCTTTTCGTCGTTTGTTGGGCTTTTTCTCAGGCTTTTTAGGTGGCTCTTGAGGCTCGTTTCCCTACCCCAGTCAAGGGCTAAGTATTCACTTTTCATGTTTCTACACCTATCTTTCTCTCTTGCCCTCTTAGCGCTGCTCTTTCTGTCTTTCTTTCTTTCGTTTCTAAGGCTTTTTAGGTATCTATTCAGGTTTCTCACACGAGCGCCGCCAAGCGGCACCGTGTGTGTGTCCAGCCCTGTTTCGAAGGGTTAATTCACTCGCCTTTCCTTCCGCAGGGGGATCAGGCTTCCAGTGGCTAACCTGATCCAACGAAGCTGGGTCACTGGAAGGGAAGTGGTTGAGGACGCTCAACCATGTACCTGCAGAGTGCTTCACAAGCTGTCACCCTACTTCTGCGCGGTTTGTTTCATGGTCTTTCATGCTTCCACCCCCAAACCCATTTCGTCACCGTGGATGTGCAACTTGAGCCGTTTCGTCACCGCAGTCAAGGGAAACAACTGATGTTCAAACACCTACAATTTCTTTGGACTTTTCGCCTTACCGGTCCATCGCCTTCCTTCCCATCGTGGCAATTGAACTAACTGAAAACCAATGTCGAAGTGTGAGTGTGTGTGTGTGTGTTTCATTCTTAATGGATGTTAATGGTGTGTGTGTTTTTTTTGTTGTTTTCTTTTTGTGTGTGTGTTGGGGACTAGACTTTAGAGATCTTCAGGGAAAAGGGAAGACATGTGCGATTCGACTCCACGAATATCCCGACACATGGTGATAGTGGAACCTCCGACAGAAAGGGAGGGACACGGGAGAAGAGCAAAGTTGAAATGAAATGATTGGAGTGTTCTGTAAGTGTTCTGCAATGTTCTGTTTCCTTGTTGTTTTTCTCCCGTTTGATTCTTTACACATCTATATAATGACCCCAGAAGGCCTGGCATATGAACAATTCAAGACACGTGGGGAAGTCCCCCTGAATCTAATGATGGCTACCATGCAATAACGTGCAATATACAGAATACCGACATGCTGTACTTGTTTCTATCTTTGAAAGCTATATATATATATAACTGTATATCACTATATGTTTAAATGGGCCAGTAGGTTGACTGCAGGAGTGCTGAAGAGTCACCCTGGAATCGGTTGAAGAGATAAATTTACATGGCTGAAAGTGCCGAAAGACTGAATTTTTCGTTTCTTTGAAGTGTTTGTTTGGACTTTGGACAGAGTTGAGGTACCCAAAGTGACCCGTCATAGCAGTATACTCAGGGTCACAAGTATCAACCCTCATGTTCCAGTTCTGGAGGGCTTGCCCTCTCACCAAGAGGCCGTTCCGTCCGCGGAACAAGGCCAGCATTGGTAGAGATAGGCTGCGCTGAGTTCCAAAGCGCAGCCTCGACACATGTGAAAACTCCAAAGTCCCTCCAGGCCTGCTCTGGCCTGCTAGAAAGAGATAGAAAGAGCACATGCAACTGGACTTGGAGAAGGCAATCTGCTGGTTCAGGTCCAGGTTTCTTGATCATCAGGTCCTCAGGTCCAGGTGGTTTAGATCTGCACCAGCAGCTAGTCAGCTAGCAGGTCACCACCTGCCACGGACTAAAGTCGTCTTCAATAACCACCAAAGCAAAGCAGACCTGTCGATGTCCAATTCCGTTCTGGAAGGGGGGCCCTCTTCGTTCCAACATCCAGCTTGTATCGCAAAAAACATATCATATGTTTCGTTCCTTTCCTTTCAGACCTTCATGCTATTTGCCCTCAACTATCCCGCAAGCAGTGGTGGGAACCCAGCAGAGTCTTCCCACTGCCGTCCTCAGGTGGGTGACCTCGACCCATTCGCAGCCGCACGCGGGTGACCCGCAGGGGAACCCCGCGCACCGCCGGTCCACGAGAGCCGGTCCGCGATGGTGCTGCTGAGCTTGGAAGAGCTCACGGAGGCCTTCGTTTCACACCTCCGATCCGAAGACTGGTCCGGGGGAGATATCTTGGTGGCGGAGTGGAGTGGTTTTAGACCGTAGCAGCACCAGGTCGAAGGTGCGTTGGGCTGGCCGTAGCAGCATATTGTAAGGTGGTGAGTCTCAGCTATCAGAATGTTGAAGATATCACCTACTTGGACTCATCCGACGCTTCGATCAGATTGGATAGCTGAACATGGTGGTTTGGGTTACAGAATTCTCAAAGAAGACGAGGGTGCTGGACTGGAGTGAAACAATAGCTGGCGGTACCAGCATGTGTGCGTGTCCATTTTTTGGTATGCTTGGCATTAGCACTCCCCAGTGTCGCCTCAGCCTCCTTGCCAATGAGACTGCCGACGAGTGCAACATTGTGACTTGATCCCAGACAGGAAGGGATCAAGTACAGAAGCAAAAACTCAGCAACCTACTCAGAAGAGAGACTCCAATTAAACTCGAATCAGACTCAAAGCAGACTCAGAAGCAAACTCCAAAAGAAGTCAATCAAATCGGTGTACTTCCATGAGTATTTGCTGAGTTTTTGTCCATGCAGCTTGGTTTGTTCTTTTGTTTCCTTTTGGTGTTGAGATTATTGTTTGGACTTTGATGTTTGAGTTAGTTTGTTTTGAGCTTGTGTTGTTGCGTTTGTGTTTATATATATAGATATGGATGTGTTAACTTAGATTGTCTTGTTTTCTGAGCTTTGTTTGGTTTCCATTTTTCCACATTTGGATCAGTCCAACCTTTATAAGCCCCGGTGTGGGCCACACCCCGTGGTCCTTTTTCGCCTCAGGCGCATAGCAAGTCACAAAGGCTTGGAGCGGAAATCACGGGAAGTGGTCTGGGCAGTGGATACCCATCATCCTAAACCGCCTTTTGCTGCTTTCCGGTGGCCCAAGACTGAGCAGGTCATCATGAGACCTATTTTGAAGAATCCACCCCCAGGTCGGTTTCTCCGGGTTTCATTGTTTTTTTCTCACTCATGACTCATCATCTCTGAGAATTGCTGTTCCTGGGGATTTTGGAGTGGGAGACTCTTCGTGCCAGCAGATTTCACCCAAAGTCAGATACCAGGTTGCCAGGTCGTGGCAAGGATGAAGCAAAGCGAAGTGATGAAGCATGGTAGCTTGGTGGTGCTGCACACCCCTTCTTTTGGAACCAGATTGCATTTTCTTGGCTACGGGAGGTGACCCAGTCAAGTGTGGCAAGCAGTTGTTATATCCCTGTAATTCCACAGCTAGTGCTACACTCCATTGGGACCTTGACGCAAATTGCCTCCCAGCAGGCAGCAAAACAGCTTCCAGAAGTGCCGTAAAATGTTGGGTTTCCTGTACATCAACCACCATCAACAATCAACAACCTGTTCAGTTCACACCTCAGAATCCCAGAACACTTTTTTGACTCATCCACCATCACCAGGTCGGTATGGCTCCTTGAATGACGTTGAAATGCGAAAACCGAACATGTGGTGAACTCCACTTTCATGATGATTTTCAGCGAGTGTAGCCCCTTTTCCTCTACCAACATATAGTGAACTCCACTTCCATCATGATTTCAGCGAGTGTAGCCCCTTCTCCTCTACCAACAGGTGGTGAACTCCACGTAACCATGATGATTTCAGGGAGTGTAGAGTTGGTGATATTTGGTGTATACTGTATACGCTTTGTGGATGTTTAATGATTCCTACCCATGACGGTATGTCCGAGAGCTGACGAGCCTGGTGGCCTCACATATTGATGACGACAGGCTTTTGGAGAGCCTGCTGCAGATCCCCAGCCTGTTGGCTGATGAGGAGGCGGGAGCAGTTGGGTGAGGCCGCAGACTAAGACCGAAACTAGGAGGTTTTAGGCCCGAATTCTGGAAGGGTTTAGATTATGTTCAGACTTCTGGAAGCTACACAGTGCAACAAAAACAACGTGTTTTTGTTTGTAGGGTGCGCTTGTCCAAGAGTCTTGCTGCTTTGTGAGTCTGAGGTCGTTGTGAAAGAGATGCCTTTGCTGATCAAAGCTGGTTCTGTTCATGAACACGAATTGATTAGGTGGTGTTTTTCCCAAAGGAGTGAGTTCGAAAGGCCGGTCGACGCCTTCGAGGAGATGAATCCCTTTTGTTGTGTCCATCAGTGTCAGAAGTTCTTACGAGCTGCCTGCAGCATCCTCCAGAAAAGGCCTCGGAACTTCCAATAACAGAGCACACGAGCCCTAGGGCTCCTGTCCCACATCCTCAGGTTCGGTGGTTAGACCTCAAACCCACCACAAGCACCTTCGAAACGGAGGTAGGCCAGGAGCCCTAGTGTCACTAGTGGATCGACATCCACCGGAACATGGTATGCCCGCTGCCAGGCCTGGGCCTCCCAGAAGCGGGGCCTTTTCGCACTGCTTCGCCGCCCGGAGAAGCACTTGACAACGGTGGCAGATTGGTACTGATTCTTCACAGATCTGAGGAACTAATATATATATATATAATATATATATATAACGAGCATGACGATCCCGAAAGAAGAAGAAGAGTGGAGGAAGAGACCGTCTTGAACAAACGGGTGACTTTCCCCACAAGTGCAGTAGTAGTAGTAGTAGTAGTAGTAGTAGTAGTAGTAGTAGTAGTAGTAGTAGTAGTAGTAG